AAAACATAATGCATACAGTATTATCACTAAGAAAAGTATATAATACTAGCTGGAGTACCTGTCCCCCTGTAAATTCATGATTAATGAAAGGTTATCTTAGGACATGAAAAGTTGCTTCCCTTATAAAAAAACGCTCATAAAAACTACAAAACACAAAATGTGAAACCGCAAGTTTGCATGCATCTCCGTATGGACCCAATGAACCTTCATACCAAATGTAGATGGCGCTGACTATAATGAATTCCAGTTTAACTGACAACTGGAGAGCTTCCTTTAAAGGTGTAAACCAACTTTACTGCAGCCTAATTCTCGTCTTTTGTGGAATATATAAATTTGGTCACATACCAACGAATCCGTCGTTTCACGTGGGACATCCGGGTAAGATAATTGGGTAAGCCTTTCCAAATCTTTTGCAAGTTTGGCCAAGGTCTCTTCATTCATTTGTACCCAGCACCAGAACTTTACTTTGGATACCCCATTCCAGAGTGTTACCTCCAAACTTGTTGGATAAGGCAGCTTACCAATATTTGACAGTTCTTACGTCTCTCAGCTGGAAGATTACTTTATGTAAGTTAAACTGATTCTTTTAAATGGACAGCAAGATGAATAGTCTGTTGTTCACTCTGATAATGATTCCGAACTGAGTCTCACAGAGTCTTCCATGGAACCCTAACATCAGAGTTCGTTGGTTTTTCGATTGTGCGACGATGTTGAGCTGGCCAGTCAAATTCTGGAGTTTCATTTAGTATCCTAGAAAGTTTCTAAAGCCATAGATGACACTGAGCTGGCCAATTAAATTCCGGAGTTTCATTTAGTATCCTAGAACGTTTCTACGGCCACAGATGACACTGAGCTGGTCAGTTAAATTCTGGAGTTTCATTTAGTATCCTAGAAAGTTTCTAAAGCCACAGATGATATAGCAGTAGTGGTGACTGGTGTAAATCAAATAGCATTTTCCATACAATATTTAATAAGTAAACGGTGTTTTATGTTAGGACTCTTGTCAGGCTGCCATAAAAAGAGGTGTGGCTAATTTGATCTTTGTATTTAACAATTCTTCTTCCAAATGTTTGAATCTGTCATTGGTTTTCTCTAGTACTTCTACGATTTTGTCATTATAATCCGGACACGCACGTAACTAGCCCACGCTCTACCAAAATAATTATTAATACCTAACATAACACAAACTACCTTTTCAAGAGATGTTGTTCTAGTTCTGTTTATAACATTCTTGATTATGTTGTTCAAGTTCTGTTTATTACATTCTTGATGGTATTGTTCTAGCTCTGTTTATTACATTCTTGATGATGTTGTTCTAGTTCTGTTTATAACATTCTTGATGGTACTGTTCTAATTCTGTTTATTACATTCTTGATGATGTTGTTCTAGTTCTATTTATTACATTATTGATTATGTTGTTCTAGTTCTGTTTATAACATTCTTGATGATGTTGTTCTAGTTCTGTTTATTACATTATTGATTATGTTGTTCTAGTTCTGTTTATAACATTCTTGATGATGTTGTTCTAGTTCTGTTTATTACATTCTTAATTATGTTGTTCTAGTTCTGTTTATTACATTCTTGATTACGTTGTTCTAGCTCTGTTTATTACATTCTTGATGGTATTGTTCTAGTTCTGTTTATTACATTCTTGATGATATTGTTCTAGCTCTGTTTATTACATTCTTGATGATGTTGTTCTAGTTCTGTTTATTACATTATTGATTATGTTGTTCTAGTTGTACTTATTACGCTATTGATTATGTTGTTCTAGTTCTGTTTATTACATTCTTGATGTTGTTGTTCTAGTTCTGTTTATTACGCTATTGATGATGTTGTTCTAGTTGTACTTATTACGCTATTGATTATGTTGTTCTAGTTCTGTTTATTACATTCTTGATGGTGTTGTTCTAGTTCTGTTTATTACATTCTTGATGTTGTTGTTCTAGTTCTGTTTATTACATTCTTGATTATGTTGTTCAAGTTCTGTTTATTACAATCTTGATGATATTGTTCTAGCTCTGTTTATTACATTCTTGATGATGTTGTTCTAGTTCCGTTTATTACATTCTTGATGATGTTGTTCTAGTTCTGTTTATTACATACTTGATGATGTTGTTCTAGTTCTGTTTATTACATACTTGATGATGTTGTTCTAGTTCTGTTTATTACATTCTTGATTATATTGTTCTAGTTGTACTTATTACGCTATTGATGACATTGTTCTAGCTGTACTTATTACGCTATTGATGATGTTGTTCTAGCTGTACTTGTTACGCTATTGATGATGTTGTTCTAGTTGTACTTATTACGCTATTGATGACATTGCTCTAGCTGTACTTATTACACTATTGATGATGTTGTTCTAGCTGTACTTATTACGCTATTGATGACATTGTTCTAGCTGTACTTATTACGCTATTGATGACTATTGTTCTAGTTGTACTTATTACACTATTGATGATGTTGTTCTAGCTGTACTTGTTACGCTATTGATGATGTTGTTCTAGTTGTACTTATTACGCTATTGATGACATTGTTCTAGCTGTACTTATTACGCTATTGATGATGTTGTTCTAGCTGTACTTGTTACGCTATTGATGATGTTGTTCTAGTTGTACTTATTACGCTATTGATGACATTGCTCTAGCTGTACTTATTACGCTATTGATGACATTGTTCTAGTTGTACTTATTACGCTATTGATGACATTGTTCTAGCTGTACTTATTACGCTATTGATGACATTGTTCTAGTTGTACTTATTACGCTATGGATGACATTGTTCTAGCTGTACTTATTACGCTATTGATGACATTGTTCTAGCTGTACTTATTACGCTATTGATGACATTGTTCTAGTTGTACTTATTACGCTATGGATGACATTGTTCTAGCTGTACTTATTACGCTACTGATG